GAATGAATAATCTGCCGTTTTCTAAATAAATATATGAGGTCAGGTCGAGGGTCAGGTTAAAAAGTTATCCCACCTAACCCAATTTTTTTAGTGGAACACCCTGTGTATTTTATTCCAAAAAAATATTAGCATAAAAAAAGCATTTTAAATTTTCTGTTCAAAATATAACACTAAAGAAATTTAAAAAAAATTGAATATTAGTTCAGATTCCAGATTTTTCAAAAATATTCAATTTTTTGTATTTTTTTAAATCACTTGAACCCGAGCTTGAACCTTTCTTAATTTTTTTAATTCTTTTTTTAATCTTTTTGAATTTTTTTATAATTATAATATTTTCAAAAAGAGAATTTAATATGCTATGTTTTTAGATTAAAATATACAGAGTGTTCTATTTAAAAAAAGGAGATAAGGTCCTGTAACTTTTTTAACTGACATAAGTATATCATAGCCTTATTTTGAAAACGGAGATTACTCATTCAGCAAGTACCTACATTTTTAATACACATTTTTTCGCAAACTATGAAAATGCAGGGTATTTTTTTAATTTCCCTTAAGCGAGCGAATATTGTCAAATATTGATTGTGCCTTTTAAGTTTGACCCAAAAAGAGCATATGACGCCTATATAGAAACTTTTTTGATAGCACAAAAATTACGAAGAACCTCTATAAGTGTCTGAGGGATTGCACTTATTTATTGAATGGTATTTATTTGAGGGTAGACCTATTTAAGGAGTGTCCCACCCCTCGAAATAATCCTCCCTTGGTATTCCCGATTCCATTAACAGTGATAAACACTAACAAATGATGTTATAGGAATAATTTTATCAAACTCAACACACAGGATTTAAAGAAAAGTGAATGATGTCTATTTAAATTTAACAACATGCCATTTTTGTATGATATTCGATTATGGTGTGAGTTAACTTGGAGCTTGAACATGTCACAGACTCCGTAACAATGAAAGTGCAACAGATTACATCCTTACCAGGAATTGTTTTTACAACTTCAGGCTCTTGTTCAACCTCCACCACTTTAGCTTCAGCTGCCTCTTTAACAGCAGCAGCCTCTTTAGCAGCCGCAGCCTCTTCTTCATTACATAACTCTTGCAGTTCGTTATCCAAGTTTGTAATGATGTCCTCGTGGTCATCCAACTGCAGATGTTGCTCAGGATCCGAAACAACATCGGCATTTTGGATCAAATCCGATATGATCACCTCAACCTCTTCATTTTTCATTTCGGGCAGAGGATCATCCGACGAAAGTATTGAACTTTCCAGGTCTTCGACTTTAATATGTGGTATAGAATCGACAGCGTCCTCCAGGATATCATGAGTGATGGCAACGTAATTGGAAGCTTGCTCTTGGGTAACAGGCTGTGGGTAGTCAACGGTTGTAGTCGAGCTGGGCTGAGTATTTAGGAGGTTTGCAATTGATGACGAGGTGTTGCGCTGAGGCTGACTAGTCATTACCGTGTGCAAAATGGAGGAGCTCGTTACATTGGGCACTTGCGATGGAGATTTCAATAGGCTGGTGAGTAAGGGTGACAGTGCAGGTTTCGCTGTTTCCTGATGTTGATTCTGTTGGTTCTCCTCGGCCAATTCCAGATCTACTAATGTATCAAGTTTGTCGGGTAATTTACGTTTCTGGGGTAAGTTCACTGCAGGCTTGCCCATTGGCCGCCATGCCCGTTCAATTTCCTGCTTTCGTATTTCACGCTCTTGTAACCATTGGGTGTGAGCGATAGCTTCCTCTTCCTTTTGATTTTCTTCTTCGTCAATTTCTTTACACCACTTGTCCAGCAATTCCTCAGTAACATTCCCGGATTGCAGTAGAACCATGTCCTCTTGAAGTTTTAAATATTCAGCACGTTCCTCAGCCAAACACTTTTCTATTTCTGCCACTCTATCTTTGGTCAGTTTACGTAAAATCGTCTCAATTGGTGTTTCAATAACGGGTTCTGAGCCAGACAATCTCTTTTTGCGTTTAGGTGTATCCACATTTTCTAACAACGATCCGTATTGTGAGGCACAATTCTTTTGATGAAACCAATCAGAGGGTCGATTCGGTTCACCAAATGGTTTCAACTGCCTGCTTACAGACATCCAATTCTGATCGCCACTCTTAGCTACAGCTGAAGCTAAGCATAATTGTTCACGGAGTGACCATTTGTCCAATGGTTCACGTTTTATTTGCAAGCGCTCTTGGATAGAAGCCATGTTCGAGTATTTTCAAGCTGAAGTACTTATGCACAAGTAATTAAGTTATCTGTAATGTTAAAGTAGTCATTATAGGTTTTTAACAACACGAATTGCGATACCACCTTCGTTTCTTCTTGTTTTGATTACGATTGTGAGGTTAGGTTATATTGTCGAATCAATTTTGTTGTATGGGATGGCAGGCACAGCCACAACAAAAACAAACGAGGTCAGGGCAGGAATAGGTGAAACAACAATTTCCAGGGACGCAATCAGAAGAATCCACCAGGCATAAAAAACAAAATAATTTAGTGTTACACATATTTATTATCATGTTTTATTTCGATATTCGTATTCCTTTTACAGTCTATTAAAGGTAAAGGTAAATTCGAGCTTCATTGGGGAATCTTCTAAAACATAACATTTGAACACCTTTAAACAAGTGAACTAGACAATCAAACATATTCATGTGAAAATTACTAATAACACAATTATTTGAGAGCTTATTCATTGATTTCTCTTCATGCATGTACGAAGGCAGCAGCCTTGGCTGAAACTCCGCCCACTCAAAAATAAAGGCAAAATAAATAAATAAATAAATAAAAAGGAGTTCTAGAGAATAGGCTAAAATATGAACTACTAAAAAAAGTTTTTAACAAGATGCTACCATCTTCAAAGGAGACCAACGCAAAAACTTTATTAGCAATTTTTTTTGAGCAATAATAGTTTACTCTTAATATTCCAATTTTCTCTCATGTACGGTTGATATAATATGGCACTGTTGCTCAACTGCAACTTCTTTTAACTTGGTGTTGATTTTGCTAGGACAACATTTATTGTCATAATTGTTTCCATCCTAATTTTTACTGACCTGTCTGAATTTTCGTAAATACCTACAAAAATACCTAATGTAGATGTGTGGGCCAAAACTTTTTGACGCACTGAGGTACATTATGACTCTCACTACTACTTGTACGGGAACCACACCCAAATTCCTAAAACAACACATGAACACAACCTCACTTTTTGTTTATTATCTAATTCACATCGTAAATTAATAATTAAATTAATAATGCCGTGATGGATTTTTTATACATTGATAACTATGGAAACGTTTGCCTTAGAAAAAGGCGAATTGCCACATTCAAACCAAAATCACCTCTAGAAATCAATACAGCGGTACAAGAAGAGAAGACATTTCTGCGAAGAGAATGCGACGTTTGGTTAAAGTTTATAACAATATTTTGGAATACAAGAGTCCTAAAGTCGGCTGTAAAATTTAGTCTGGTTGCCCTTGTGATGAATAGATACGAACGTCTGGGTTTTGCTTTGTTGATGTTGTGTGTTGCTTTATAAATTTGTTCATATGTAAAAATGTAATTTATTTAATATAAATATTTATTGTGGAATTGTGAGTTTATCAATTCTTTAGTTTATCCACTTTTAGTAGAAAGTGGCATACTTACCTACAACTAAAGCAAGAAAGATCAGGAAGACCTGCTAAATATGATATTGTTGGTGCAGTTTTTGTTTTAAACTGCCTATTCTTACTTTCAATTTTATAGTAAGTTAACTGGAACAAAGCTGTCAACTAGATCAGGGAAGGTGTCCCACAGGGATTTGTAATAAAACCCATTTTGCTGTTAATATATACATAGTAGGGAATGCAATCCCGCAGCAAAATCTCAATCCCGGTATTTGCGGGATTGTAAGATGTTAATCCCGCGGGATCCTGCAAAACTTTAAATAAATTGGCAAATAAGCAATTCTGTGAGGTTAACTTCTGTATTCGAATAAATCGCTAATTATCACAATATTTAACAAAAAAGTACATTCAGCCTAACTTAGAACTCAAAAAAACCTCACCTGTAAAGCACAAAAAGGTGAACTTCTAAAGTACCTCAAAAATCATAGTACATTTTTAACGAAAAAAGTTTAACTTAAAAAATAACTTCTCCGTTGGGTATGCGTTTCATTAACAAAGTAAACAGAGTCGTCCTCTTGGTCGACAAATTCCTCAGTCCCGCAAATCCCGCTCCATTTATGTGCGGGATTAAACCCGCAAAAATGCTGCGGGATCCCGGCGGTATTACGGGATCCCGCGATCCCGGTATTGCATTGCATAGATAGGTATAGGTACATCAATCATCTTCATAAGGCTTTGTCCAGACACGGTGGTAATCGCGAGGTGTCTGAACCACTTGGGTAATTTTCATGGAAATAAGATCCTCATGATATCCATGAGAACTCCACTGTAAAGACATATACACAGACAGTGACGTGAGCACATAGGAGGATAAGGTGAATTGATTACGATACGAAGTCACCCTACCTCTTCCATGTGTTCTGTCTTATATGAGGATATATGGGTGTTTCTGCGGGAACTCCCGGCGTTCGTCTAGATATGAGACTAGAATTGAAGGGTTCATAAAAAATCAGACATGTTCGCATGTTGGTGGGTGGTAAAACGCGTTGACAGCCTGACAGGATGAGAATACGTAGAATACAGCATTTGATTGGTGAAAAAATGCAAATTAGTAGGATTTTCTTAGCCCTCATCTACGAAAGGGGAGTATGAAGAGAAATGTAATATGATACCGTGCGGTATTTTGTCTTTTAGGGATCGCTCTGGCTGGGCTCCGTGCGGAGATTGCGATCTTTTTAGTGGTACCTTCCCTTAGTGCTTTTAAATGCACTGTCATCGTCGATTTTTGAAACCATTCGGTCTTTCGAATTGACGAATCCAATTTGAAAACAATCGGACCAAAAATGTAGAAGAAGATAGGAAAAAACTGAAAAAGCACCAAGTTGTATGACACTCTCGGAGATGACGCACAGATCTCGTGAACCCCACATCGTGTAGCCCCATCGGGGTCATATCGCTCTAAAGTTGTTAATTATAGGACCCAGTAGGTATGTGCACTTCTTGTATTTCTATACATGCGTTACTTTTGCAGGCTCGCATTGGCTACCAGCCAGTCGACTGGCCAAAGCGAAAGTAAAAGCAGAGATTTAAATATAAGTCTGTGGTAAAAGCTACCTTTTTACAAATAAATTTGCAAACATGCGGTAAAAAGGTAGCTTTTAATCGCATGACGGAATTTTGTTTTTTTTCCTAGGGACGTAATTAACCACTTTTTGCAAGGCGATCGTCTTTGAGTAGTCGACTTTGGGAGTTTGGGCGCCCAAAAGTTTCCTAGAGCTCGAATCGCGGTCTCTCTTTCTATTGGCTCCAATAGAAGCTGGAGGTATGAGTGCCCCAATAATTGAGTAGGTAAGTACTGTTTTTATGAAGGGTTTTTAGCGTAATCCGCCAAAATGCGAATTGTAGATTAACTGGAAGTCGGAAGTGAGTAGAGATAAAGGGAATGTGTAGCGTTCGACAAGATCTTCTTACTGATGGTGGGGCCAAACTGGCTAATAGAATACTGATCTGCCACACAAAAATGCGCTGAAGTCCCTTCGATAATGTTTTATTAGTATGCTGGACTGGTTGTATACAAACGGGTTAGTCAATACAGATAAGAAATCAAAAGAAGCGGAGAAGCTGCTCTGCTTTTAGCAACGAAACAATATACTTCGCTGTTTAAATATGATTAGTGAAATGGAATATTTGATGTAAGTACCTAGCTACCTACGTATGAAAAATTTATTTTTTGGCAATGAAGAGTAGGTACGCGAAACTGCCAATAATAACAAAGTTACCCACACGGTCCCTATACGAACCGTGAGTTAACCATGCATTGCCACCCAACCTGGGACACTGTAAGTAATAAAAACTAAAAACAATAATAAGTAAAAGTAATAATTGTAACGACTGTTATTTGGTACATTGATTTGGCGTAATAAGAGACGTGCGGTAAAGATTTAATGTGTATAGGTACCAGGGACCCGGACCGGACTGTAAAAGAATCGAAAACCAGACCGAAACCGGAATTTTTTTAGTACCAAAAACCGAGCCGAAACCGTTATTCCTTCAGAAATGGAAACTTATTGAGAATCGGAACCCTTATTTTTTTCGGTTTTTTAGGGTTCGGTTTAACAAAATTTTTTTCTATAACTTTTTGTGTATTTTTTCTGTGTTTTATTAACAAATTAAGTTTAAATACATATTCCTCTCTTCCTCCTTTATTCCCCTTGTTGTTGTAAATTAGCTCACATTTTGGTATTCATTACTTTTTCATTTTCACACCTATTAATTAACAAATCACGTTGTTATAATGAGTTTTTTGAATGCCATACTTTCTAAAAGACTTAAGACCGAAAAGCACCGTTATGGACCGAAAAAATGCGCAGAACCGAACCGTTATTTTTTTTAGAACCGAAACCGGACCGTAACCGTTAAATTGTAAATGAACTGTAAACTGTAAAAATGCAGCTTTATTCACTTATAAACCAAATTATAACAACAGTTAAAACACTTAAATAATTTACTCTAATAGTTGACCAAGAGAGTATAGCTATGCGCAATTTAAAAGAGGCACTTTTCTACATTATTTACATGTTTTCAAATAAATACGAAAATTAACATAAACAATATTGAAAAATGTAACATGTAAATATGAATGGAGAGCTTTATCGTAAATCGGTTACAATGAATAACAAGGAGAAAAATAGGGAAACAAAACACTGTATCGAAAAGTATCATCTCCAATCAAATATATTCTCTAGATTATTTGATAACAGCATGAGCACTTTTGGTAAAAAATATCAAGTAGTAAATTCTTTAGCTCTGCAGTGTTTTTCATACGTAGTGACTACTTATTCACGATTTAACAAAAAAATCTATATTATAAACTACATACGTATTTAACAAAGCATATATAACTTCAGTCTAGGCTAGAATTTCTTTTATGGCAAGAATTAGAAGAACTAATTTTAACATAAATTATGATATAATTGATATCGTTTATATTATCTACTTATCATAAAATTTGTCTATGGTTTTCGTGTTACTGCCCGAAACAATGTGCATATAAATTTAACCAAGAAACGTTCCAATAGACTTTAAATGAGAGTTCCACTTATAAAATAAACGGTTTACTGAATATTATTTTTAATTGTAACTTGTTTTTCAAAATTAAAGCAGAAAATTAGTGCACATATGAATTTATAGCAGTAACTCTACTAAATAACACGTTAATATTGATATCAGTCATCTACACTTATAATTACTGTACATATTTAAAAAGTAAATATCACTAGAGTAGTATGAAAATCCATTTTTTGATATTTTGTGAAACATTTTATTTTTCTTCGGTCGAAATTAATCCAAACGTGTCGATTTTAAGAAAGTAGAATTTGATTTATTAATATAGTTTGATGGCATGGAGAAATTGTACTTAAGTATAGGTAGACCACTTACAGAGAAAATATTGCAAGCACATTGCATGAGTTCCGTTTCTTATACAGTAAAAAAATAAATAGAAGAAAGTAAACAACTAAATCTATAAACGCATAAATCGCTCGAACATAGATCTCCATTATAATGATAAGACATTCACTTAGTAAGATCACAGCTAACAATGTCTGGAGTCTCTCTTATATCAATAAATTTAACTGACTAGGATCTAGCCACACTGACGTTTATTTAATATTTACATAATGTACAAAACGTGTCTCCAAAATAAAAAGTTCCAGACCTCTAAATTAAATAAAGAAACATCAACGGTAAATATACATTAAATCTAAATAAAACGTTCGTTTTTCTGTTATTACCTGTATAAAACGCTAGAAAATAAATTACATACAAATGTCTAAATTATTACTTTGGAAAATCACACCTAAATAAACTGAAAAATAAAATAAGTCGCTCGGGAGTCTCGATTAAACTGGCTAGTTCCTTAGTAGGGAGGGGAAAACATTGTCATTTCCTATTTTCTTTCTTTATTTAGGCCTATAAGTTGGAACTACTTGGCTATTACTCCTGATTTTCTACCGATACTAATTTGCAAAGGACTTAGTATCAGGTGATCCTGTGTGCTACTTTAAGACTGATTTTTGGTTTTATTTTCTCAGCAAACGAAAAAAAGTTCTATTAACCACGTTCGTAATGAAAATACAATTGTGCGTACTTATGATAGATATAAATTTTTTGTTGACAAATGTTTCGACTAAGCCTTTGTTGTAAGTACTCCGTGAACTGACGTTTGTATTTAGGACTGGGCGTATGTTACAGATATCACATTTATATGATGGGTACAAAATATGGCAAAATATAAGATCGATTTAAAAATAGTTATATATTTTCTTTAAGCATAGTATTGCCATTTTTTGATTATGTATACAATTAAGTGAACAATCATTTGTAGGTAATAAAAAATTCCGACTGACAAGGTTTTCTGAATTGAAACAAACCAAAAATCAGACCTGTAATTTTCAGGTAATTAGATAACTAATTGAGCACCTAATGTTTCAAGCTAACTTAATGTAATTACTAATATTGCACAATTGTAGCGCAGTGTCCTTTGCACGTATTGCTTGTAGAAAGACACAGCGAAGCAGCACGCACTAGCACTCCAATTTGGTGTCGGTTTCTAGTCATTAGTGATCTGTGCTAACTGTTAGACTTGTCAATAATTAGTTTCATAATCATCAGCAGTTGGCACAGACAGTCAGTAAGCACAGAGCACTAGTGCGTGGAGTGACGTCATTGAAAAGTGGATTCTTTATGAAATGTATCTGATTTATGGAAGGATGGTCGGCCATTATTTTCACTACCTCGCTGTAAAGGAATATCTTGCGATGCAAAATTATTTTCGGATTTAGGCCTTGGAAGGGTTAATCTCTTTAACGTTCTTCCTAATTCGTGTAAACTTCGATCACTAACGTGCAGCCTAGCCACGGACTCATCGGAACCATTCACGTGATCTGCCTCCGCGGCGAGCGCATTTACGACCGCATTAATTGTCTTACTTTCACTTCCCAGATCTTCTTCTTTATGCGCAACTAAATTTGGATTTTTCCCAATTTTGTTTAACCTGAAAGGATTCGTATGTTCACCTTGGTGATTTAGCAGATGTAATGACTTTGGCTACTACGTGCAAAATAATTAACAAAAGCTTCAAATGTGGTATTTGTGCGAGATAGAAGAAAAGATAGGTGTCAAATAAAACAGTGTAAAGTGTGTGTTTTATTGAATTAGTTTAATCGCATCGCTTGTTGTACTTACTTATTGAGATTATTGTATTATATGTGATCAATTGCAAGGCACTTTGGTGTCGAAACCTCTCAAATAATAAATAAAAATCAAAACACAGTTGAAATAGGCGATACACATGCGCCTAACTGACCAATATGCATCTATTCTAATTTAGAAGCTTCAATGAATAAGAACATGAAAGGTATATGAGAAAAACCTAGCAAAATAGGTTAACACATACTATAAAGTAAATCTTGCAAACTGGCGCTGCGTTCACCTGTCAATTTGATTTTCGTAATCCCTTATAGGTGCGCTGAAAGTACTTGGAAACCGCGAGCTATTTAATAGGGTATAGGTATATCAGTATCACGAACCGACAGACAAATGGTAAACCCCGTAACCGGGATAAAGTATAGCAGGGGTGGCAGGTCTTTTCCAGAAAAAGATTATTATCCAAAGTAACTATGGATTTCCATCTATCTGCATAATTATTAATTTACAAATAATTTTTTATTCTGTTTTATTTTTGTACTAATTTCTCGATTCATTTAAAAGCCCCCCTTTAAGTGCACATAAAAGTATAGTTCCCCCGTCTCAAAAGTTAGAATTTTTTGTAAAAAATCACTTTTACCGTTGAGTGAAAAATTGATTCAATCCTCTTACCATAACGATCCGTCTATTGCGAGGGTTGTAATTTTTCTCTAATATACTTGAAACATTTTTGTTTCCTAGTTTGGTCTCCGGTTAAAAAATTAGAATTTTTTCAAATAAAAACTCCCTTGTACATAACGATTCGTATATTGTGAGTTCTGTATTTCTTGTTTCCTTGTTTGATTTTGTTTACGAAGTCCATAACCCACCGTTTAAATGCAGTTAAAAGTATATCTTCCCCCTTTTCAAAAATAAAAATGTTGTAAAAAGATTTCAGATAAAGACTCGTATATTGCAAGGGATGTAATTTTTTTAGTATACTAAAACATACTAGAAACATTTTTATTTCTTTGATTTTGTTCACGGAATTCATAAGCCACCCTTTAAGTACACATAAAAGTATAAGCCTTCTCAAGTGAAAAAATTACACTTTTTTTACAGGATCGACAACCCCTCTTCCATTAATTAATTAATTAAGGTGTAGCCCTTTTTAAAAATTACAAATTTTGTTAAACCTACTTTGACATAGTAGATTTATATGCTTCGTATTTTATACATGAACCATTAAACCATAATTTCCGGAGGGAACAAGCTCCCGGTGGTTACTATCCTGGGACAGAGGATAGGCGGAAAAGTAAAAATGCGAATGTTATTGCTTGTATGTATTTAAACTTGGGGACCCTCTCCCTTTTTTAACAGAGTGAGTTGGTAGGTATGTTTGAAATTAGCCTGAAACTGAACAAGTGAAAAACGTGGTCACTCGCGACCGACGAAAGCGCATTTTTCTTCCCGCAGAATCAGTAATAACTCGGGAAGGAAGTGACCAATCCACATAAATGTTTATCGTTCTGGTCTCTGGGCTGTACTACACCGTATAAGAATGAAACCGCAACAAAAAAGCTTAAACTGGAGGACTAGTAGTGGTACAGACGGACAAAGTGCGGACAATAGCGTTCATTTTCCTTTTGGAAAATGTGCTAAAAACCAGATGAATGCCTGCTACTTTGTGACTCAATTGCCATCTTGAAGGTTTTGCACGATATCGTTATCTAACGATAACTTCTATACCTCTTTGGTAATAGTTCCATGCGCACTGGCTACTGATTTTGACCGTCTTTTCTACTGTTTGTACCTGTCAATGAATGTCAATCAATGGCTGACCTGGCGCAATACCACATTAAGTACTTCCATTCAATGTGAATATGAATTAATTTAATTATACGAGCTCTTGAGCCATATGCATTTGGTTTCACCGTCCCGCTTCATTCCATAGCACGAAAATTCAATCCTCACACAAGCATCTAAAGAGCGCTTCTTTTTACCTAAGGCTTCTTCAAATCTTTAAGATTTTTCAGAGTCATCCCTATATTCAAATTATTGCAATTTCCAAAATCTTCTTTATATTATTAAAATTTTTCGGATATTTGTTTTTTCCAATCCTTGAAATTATTTCAATTCTTCAAATCGTAATGATTCTTCGAATCCTTGGTTTCTTGGAATGCTTCGTGAGTAGAATAACATTCCACGCAACCGCCGCACTTGCTGCAAAGTGTGTACCCCCCTCTGTAAAATAAATGATTTGACAAACATCCAATAATCAATCGATCTTTATATCAAAAGGGGCCCATTTTTTTTTACAAAAGTAAGTCTTTTAACCTTAACTCGGTCCTAGAGGTTGCAACACCCATAACTTTTTAAATAGAACAAGGTGTCAAATGATCCATAATTTGCAAGAGGGTTTACTTACATAACCGCTTTTATTTTTTTTAAAGCGATAGATGTTTGTGCACTGAAAATGAGAGAATTATGAAACTTAGGTCCAAGCGCAACTAGTTTTTAGATACCTATCAAGAAAGGGGACATCCGCATCGTCGACATTAGTCCAGACCAGCTAGTTAAATGGTGGTTTCCAATTAAGTGTCCTAGTTTACACGAAAATAGGGATTATCACACATTCGTTGCTGAGGACGTGTTTTTTAAGGAATATTAAATTATGGAGAGGACACAAAATATAATGTTAACTGTAGGTGAACGCGGTGCCATCTTGATATACTGTAGGTGAAATGGAAAATACTTAAAAATGTCAAACCAAATTTAAGTATGTTTTGCTAACAATACAAATTAAAAAATTCAAAAAAAGGAAAATTAAAACAGAGCACAAAATGGTAACCATCACCATGAAAGTACTAATTTACAAAAAAAATCTACATGAGTGCAGACATTAGAGAAGCGATGAAACAATTAGTAAGTATAATTCAATAAAACCACTGAGGTTATTTATACCAACCAACGCACTGACCTCTCCGCGGCAACCGATTCCATCGTACGGCGCATGAGTGGGTACTGATCGAGTACTGCATTAAAATGATCGACCGACAGAGAAAATAAATTACAGTAGGTTTCAGCACGGACGGATGCGACGCGCCGTGCATTAGTTAGTAAACAAATTTCACCAAAATAGGAACCATCACTCAGACTCGTCGCCACGTCCCCATTCGCCATTACTATATCGACAATACCTTCTTGAATGAAGTACATCTTTGAACCGATTGTTCCTTCCTTTATTATAATATCACCTGAAATTAAGAACATTAATTTCCAAAGCAAATTATGTTTACATACCAGGCTGGAAGACTTCATATTTTAACTTGGTTACAACATCAGACACAAAGTTTGAATCTGCATTTGCAAAAAATGGAACCGAAGCAACAAGCGATCTGCAGTTGTAATTGATAACATCTTCTCGTAATTTTTCGGATAATTCTCCCAAGATACATTCCTCGTCGAAGAATTTTCCCTGATATCGATGCTCGAAATACTCCGTGATTCGTTGCCTCATCTCTCTCGGAAGTTTTCGATACGCCATATACTCCTCAACTTGCTTTACCTATTTTATGCAGATACATAACGTGTATAAGAAAATTATTGGGGTAGGCTGCAGCTCTTAGTGTCATCTGTGACGTGTGTTTAATTATGTTGTTGAATTTAGTGTTGTGTATTTTAAAACACTTGTGTGTGGTGTGAAGAAGTTAGGTACCAAATTGTTTGTAAAGAAGTGTAACATTAATGTATGTGTCTTACTTTAGGTAATACTTCAAAGTATCGTCATAAGTCATGCAGTAGAATGCCCACGTCGAAAGAACATACTTTAATCAATTATGCATTCTAATACTATCAAAATACTATACACAAAGTTAATACCAAAACACCTAAATAGTACGTACGTATGAAAATACAATGGGGAGTTGCTATTCGTGTTTGAAATCCTTAGAGGATGATATTATTGTGAAGATTTTCAAGGGGTGGGCAACAGTCAAAACCTAGCTGCGGGTTATTGCATTAAAATGATCTTCATACATAGTAACGATCATATTTTCCAGTATTTGACAAGTATGAAGCATTTCTTTTCAGGACTACCACCGCCGGCCCATTCGGTGCAGTGGAGTAGAAGCTCGACTGCGGTCCCTGGTTCGAATTCGGGTTCGAGAATGTATACTTTTTGTCCTCTATCTCATTCCATAAAAATCCAATATGACGCCCACAAGAAATTAGTATCCTGTGGTTTCTACATCTAGGGTGTTATGGAAATGCTAATATAACAGTATTTAATCCTATAAAAAAAGTGCTAACGGGAACCGTCCACATTAGACGTTTCAGACGTTTCGTACAGAAACATTTCTGGGACATTTAATTAGAAACTATAATATTTCTATTACGTGATTTTGAATTAGGGATATTTTGTAGTGCTAGTGAAGAACAGAACTTGTTTATTTAAGTCTCCTGAGAACGCATACACGTCGCCTAGATTAGTTTTTAAACATTTAAGGAGCATTAATGGCTCCGCTCTTGTCTGTGACATTCTAAATGAATTTTTTCCCATGTGATTATATGATTGCTGTTTTTTGTACGTTAAATGAAACATTTTATTTGAAACAGCAATGAATCAAGCCGCAATGTTTCATAGATGGTGTGCGTTTAGTGGTAAAAGATTAACTGAAAAGAGATTAAATAGCCGCTTTGATCCTGTAAGTGCAAAAATAAGTTACGGTAATCGCTGCACTTTGCACGAACCATGCAAATATTTATATAATTATGTGCTTATTGCAGCTTTTAGAGAAACGCAAATCGATATTCACAAAAAAAATTTTTGCCGACAAGCTCAGATAAAAACAAATAGCACCAGTTTATTAAACTAGCTCTCAATGCTTTCGTATGTAAAATATTGAACTCTCAAACAAGAATTTACGATCACGACGCGCCGTAAACGTCGTATCGATGTAAATAAGTTAAACATACATATTTTCTATAAAGAAATTGTCCAGTTGGAAGACTTAAATAAGCGAGCACTTTTATTAAAAGGGGGTGGTAGGTGCTGAGAAAGTTAGCCCGTGTCCCCTTCAGAACTTTCGCTTTGGGCCACGCCTTGAAAATGTTCAAAATACCTAAATAACTCCCACTTGTTTTCACACCTACTTACAACTCCCTTACGAATAAAAGTGGTAACTAGGTATGAGTATTACCCGCTTCTTCCACGTTTATTTGTATAAAAGGAAAGTGTTCGATATGAATAAATATCAGAACGCAGACCCGAGACATTCTGATCTGTAGTTAATATTTATTCTACCTTTCACTTTGTGCCATTTTAAATTAGTATAGAAAAGTTGACAGAGGTCAACTGTATACCATAGACGTTAAAAATGATTGAGGTAGGTAACATGTGATATGTTTTGCCCATGCAGTACGTGCAGCGATCATCGATTCGAATTTTTTCCCCGATCAAAATTTGGTTTCCTAACGCAGTGAGAAACATGCACATACCGTCTATGGTGAAGTAAAGTGTTAATACCCAGAAGTGTTTTGAAATGATGGGGTGGCACAAAAATTCACATGTTTCCTTCTTTGTTTGCTCCCGTCTATACATATACTTTGGAAAACTCCTATGCACTCTTCTATTCTAAAACTGGCTCAAAATGTTGTGGGTAATCATCAAAGACGTCAAAATGAAGAGAACGAGTTTCACAAAAATATTAGGAAACAAAAAATACTAAATGAACTATTGAAATAGTTTCGTTAACTACTTCTATTCGAAAGCAAAAATTAGAAGCGTTTTAAAATACAAAGAAAAACACAAAAAAACTTCATGCATTAAGGCTTTTAGCAGACACCGCAGCCAGCACACCCTTAAGTACCTTTTCACGATACTGTCTACGCGACGAGTCCAAACTTTGAATAAGATTTGTAGCGTGGCCTAGAAACAGCGCGTAACATGTCGCTCCTGATATCATCGACAACATTGTAAGCCACATATCTGTCAGGGACTGTGGTGGAAACCGACCATACCCAATGCATAGCATATGAGACATGGCCTTAAACAGCGCCCACGAATACTGTTCCAACCAAAACGCGTGCTAAAACACAAATGGATAAGTCAAAAACAGACCGACATGTGATAGAGCCTACTTCCAGTTCGTTGATTGCGACCCAAGAATTTGATGGAAATCCCTGAAGCATCGGCACGAGAAATTGCAGACAACCAGACCAGTGTCCAATGAGCAACATCATGCAGATCAAATTGAAAATTCTCATAAACACACTGGCCATGTTGAGGAACTGTAATCGTAAACGTTAATCTATTATGATGTTTATTAATTAACTTGTAAGCTCGTTCAAGATGATTTTTACACTTCCCTTCAATTTTCCTTGTGCTCTCTAAATGTGCGATTCATGCTAGAATATTGGATGTAAATAATCATTTTGAACGAATATTTTCCACTACTAGTTTTTAATATATAATAATAATTACAAACGTAACGCCTCATACGCTAAAAAATCAAACAATACAAATACAAGGTGTTATCGAAATAATGAAAAGAAGCAGCTGTAAAACTCTATCTTCAAATCTTCATCAACTGGTAACGAAAACTGCTGTTAAGCGTAAGCAGTGCCTTAAACTCTTATGCAGAAAGCAACTTAAGGTTCCTAATTAAAAAAGCATAAACTTAGTTCAGGTATTCAAAATGGTTACTCATACAAACAAGTATTATTTCTCATCCATGTACCAAGCACCATTTGTAACGAAAGTTTGTACGTAGTAGGCAATTCTTCGATTTAGTTAATTTTAGCCACAGTATCTCTAAATCGAGTATCGAGCGATTTAGTACAACTTCTGTATCCAGAAGGGTCATATAGAAAGTTGTAGAGAAAGAAGTTATAAGTAGTTGTTAGTTTTCATTCAAGCCTACTACCTTCAGTTAAACCACTTACCTTTTACTGCAACAAAGAATACATGCAACCGAACCGGTGTAGGTACCTATTACACAACATTCAAAGTGCTACGATTCTCCTACACAAAGAAATCTAGCAAAAGATTGTGCAACACCATGCAATAAGTAAAAGCTAAGAACTGTAATGGGAAATACGACAGCAGTAAGGGGAACTGCGTATGATGTCAGCCAATACTTGGCAGGTCCAATTTTTGTAAAGTAAATTAGCCAGTCCAAGTTTTGGGCGTGCACCTGCTGCTGAAGTGGCTCAGGCGGAAGCAGAGGCGGCGCCGCGGATCGGTCATGCAAGCCAGCAGCCCTAAGCGGGTTACCTTAAAGACGAGATTGCTTGTTTTAGACTTTTCGGGCTCCGAACTGAGGCGCCCCCTTCTTTCCGTTCGCTTTTTTTGGAGATTCTGCAAGATCTAGAAAAAAGCGAAGAACATACAGTAGTAGAGAAAGCTTTGCACGCTCGGCACCGGAAGAACGATTATATATTTAGTAGAGAGCATTAGAGGTTAGTATTAAGTTGTTATAGAACTAGTGCAGTGCGAAAGCGGCATTACAGAGCACGCATAGCAATTCTTACACTTAATGGTATACTGAACATATGAACATATATACAACTTTGGACAACGTAGCAATTAAAAAAATTAAACGTTTAGTTAGTTCTTGTTAACAATTTAGATTCGATTATACATTAGTGTGAAACAAAATCGCGACAATGTGTATAAACGAATCTTAGAAAATTCGACCGTACAGGTAACTGATACATAAGACATTCAATAATTTACCCAGACGAGTAATCCGATTCTATGTGTTGGATGGTTCCAGATTCTGATTGGCATCGTTTGATTATGGAATAATTAGTAATTTTTTGCATTAAATAGTACGTTGTCCGGATAAACAGACAGACAGACACAAATGATGGTAAAGCGGAAATGGACCACGTACGTAATGGCACTATTTAGCTCTACAGGTGCCAGGTAGACAGAAACTCTTAGGATATTGGAGGTGGTGCGAACACTTATGTCTATCATCCATACAAGTTTTGTCTTTTCAGAGCCATTTAATGTACAGCTTGAGAATGGTTCGGATTCAATTTAGAATCTCAACATTTAGTAAAGATACTTACCTTTTGTTTGGATCTCAATCTCTATGAAAATGAATGCGCATATTTACAGGCTTAAAGAAAGCTTGAAAAAGTGACAGTTAATTCTTTGATCATGGTTTCTAAACAAGATGCTAATGACATAAAGGTGAACCACCCACCTTATTTGTAACTATAACCATACATTTACGTAAAGTCAATTTTACATGCTCAAATTTTTACGTGTAGTTCTGCATATGTAGTGATTGACATATTGTGTTAAACAGGACATTTGGTGTTTAATTGCTATATTTTTATATTCAAAATGCATCTGAAACATGTCTGTAAGTCATCTCATCATTCTATGACTACCTCGAAATTTTCTAACGCGATGGAATATCTAACAAAAGTTTTTAAAAGATATACGAGCAGCAACTTTGAAGCCCGAGCAATAAAATCGTTCATTTTTCCGTTTTACTACTAACTCTCAGAAAATGAGAATAGTACCGCTCGAAAGCTCAACGCACAAAAATATTTAAATATTTAAAGTTTGTAAGCTGCTATAGATATTTCCCAAAGTTACAGGCTTAGAAACTTTAAGTCGTTTTTATAAATGTATAACGTCAAATTATTTAAATGAAATAGTTGTTAAACTATTTTGACATGAAGCGAGTTAAATGCGCTAAGGTTCTTCCAAACGATAACATTATCAACATCGATCTAAACCTGGGACTTCTTCTTACTTAGAGTTTTCATAAAGGTACCGTGTTAATGTAAAGAAGGATTTTTAGTACCGCCACAGAAGTTTACCTCAAATCGTAGCAATACAATACTTAAATGTCAAAATGTATCAGTACCTTGTTCGGTAAGTAACCTTAAGAAACATTTTATAAACAATAAAAACGATATCAATTGTAATTTTTTTTCCTATCTATATCTAATGTAAGTATAATAAAAACAGGCAGTGTCTATTAGGCAGATCAACTTTATAGCTACAGGTTTGGAAATAACTATCTCCTAATGAAGATGTTGGCATCTAAAGATATACTGTAACTGTTAGAAACGAAGAGGGTACTAATATAGAAAAAAAAACAAAAATTGTAAAAAATTTGCTTTTCTGTGCTTGTGTTATACGTGTGTATAGTCTGTCTTGCACCGTTAAAGTATCTTATAATTTTATTGGATTCTATGGGTTCTAATATACTAACATTCAACACTTATAACTTACGTTCACAAAGATGATATTTACGTAATGTATCAATATGTACAGCTACATTAAAGAAATGATACGACCCCAAAAAACTCTACTTGTTGTGTACGATGCATAAACTGAGCAGGAACATCACCTTAAAATCCCAACAAACATACAATTTGTTGTGCACCTTCACATGCGTAAATCGCCCTTTAGACCTTTATGTTCTAAAGCAAACCTTCAATTGTTTTCTATCGACATTCCTTCTAAATTGTACCATGCAGGTCTTCTCATAGACTGTTTTACTATTATTTAAGGACTAAACAAACAGTTTAAGTTAATCCATTAGTTGTCCTTAAATAATACTAATGATCCATGAATTATCCAACAAATTCAATAATAATCAATAAGTTGGCGCACAACAAACCATCAGACGAGTCACTAAACGTTACATTGAACTATCGCGCTAACACACACATTCCAAATACCCCGGACAGCCGTCAATGCTTAAAAAAAAGTCATAACACTTGGCAGTTTTCCAAACATGACAGCAGCACGAGGTGGAAACAGATAGACAGAAAGAAAGAGATTGGTGTAGCACCTCGGTGGTCCTGTCTCTAGGTGGGGTAATTGGGGTACCGTCGGGCGCGTACTCTGCTTGCCGCCCAGAGGGGTGCTGGTACATGGGTATCTGCGACCCAAACACCTCTATCAACTTCCTACTTTTCTGACTAGCTACGTTGCTACACTGGTATATGGAATACGTGGTCCAGTACTCAAGTAGCGGCTGAAAAGTTGTTTAATTGTACTTAAACTTAGTACGAACATTTCGTTTATTTCATCAACAAACTTCACCCGCTACTTGACTTTTGTTTAGTTTGTAAAAAGGTATAGCACTCACTGCATTCATTCATAATTACAATGGAAGGAACTACATTTATTAACTTCGTTCTGTATTCATCAAATGATAAAGTGAAAAATCGCTGAATGAAATAAGTTGGTACGTTGTCTGAATTGATACGCGGCAACAGCATATCTACTAAATAAAGCAGAGCTCTGTATGATGTGTTCCGAGGGTGAGAATATCATAAATACATTATTTAACAGACGTTCCGTGTAGCAATTCCGACAACGGAGTGCATTTCGGAATTGAATTTTAAAATAATCCTACTTCTGATTCACTCAATTATTGAAATAAGTTGAAAAATGATTGATTTTGCTTGTTTTATAGTTAAAAACTGCGTGGCTTTCGTTTTTATATTTCAAACAGAATTGGCGTAAAATAAAAGTACTACAATCAATTGTGCTCTAGTTCGTATTTCTTAGCAAGCTATAGTTAAGTTTCATTTTGCTGTATGTTTTTGCTTGTATTTGGCAGTAAACGTAAAATCAAAATAGTCATAAAAGTAGAAAATAGGGTTACAGAGCCAAACTATTTGAAAGAAGCAGTTTATACTACTAGGCGAGAGATTACGTTCTCTACTTGATCTACATTCGGGTATCAAATGCAGTGGAAGACGCAGTATAAACAACTCTCCAACTGCAGAAGAATGAAATACAATATCGTAGGTATATCTTATAAGCGCAAGTGCAAAGTTTTAAAATGACACAGTGCAAAAAACTTAGCCTCATTCCAAGCACGCCTGAGCTTATAGCAAAAGCTGACATAAACTCCAGCGCTTTATATTACATAGTTTGGCATTTCTGATCTAAAACCCATATTACAGATGAGTTTAGATAAGAAATTTAACAATAAATTATTTTAATTATACTATAATGGGTTGATGATACTCCACAACGCATGAAAGCATGAGCGCGTGTCGGTGATACAAAAAAACGTATTTGTTCTTTGTACTTACATAGACTTCTTCCCATTGGCTGACGTATCGCACCAAACGGGACAGTCGTAGAAGGCGAACGAGTGAAAGGAGTTTTGCAAGCCGTAATATCCGTAGCGCGCGGCCGGCATGGAGGATCTGAAAACTCTCCCCAAAATCCTGGAACAGAGGTTTAACTTTTTGGTAATTCGCTAGTGATCAAAGACTCCCAACAGATCTACAGAATCATTATTACACACAACAACGGTTATAATACAATATTGGTCCAACCTCCAGATTTTTTTAAATTTTATTTGTCTAAAGTGGTTGGATTCAAACAAAAATTACTTGCATACAGATGCAAAGCGCACGTTAAATGTTAACTGTTTCAATTAGTATAAACATTAAAATTAAACTCTACTTACTTGGTTAAATATTAGAAATATATAATCTAAAGGTATGGACGATATAAGGTCGAGGAAAAACCACGTCCTTAAATAATGTCTGGCTATTAGTTTCGGATCTAAAATCACTTGTTCGGCGTTATCCTGTTGCATAATACCTACAACAAAACATATCATTAGAAAACGAAATAGATCACCTATATTCTATAATACAATTGAGAAGTATCAAACACTTCAAACCCCTTTAACATAGGAAAGTCCTATTGCATTTATAACACATTTAATTAGGATTAGTTGTAAAATAAATTGGGTGAAGGATGGTTTAGGAGAAGTGCAGCAGGAAAGTTAACAGGTGAGAAATCAACAAGGAAAAAAAGAGGCGTTGGTTCAGTTAAAAAGTACAGCTTTTCAGTGCCATGTAAACTTTGTAATCATTGTATTGTATTTTTGTTTGTTTTTAAGTGGCTAGGGCTTTCGCCAAGGTTGCTCTATTAACCCAACATTATGTTCCTGTGTGTAATGGTATGTTGTATGGGGTAAAAATGTACCACCAAACAGATACCTTCCTAGCTAGCTCAAATTAAAGCGTTTAATACCTTTTTCCTTTCTAAATTTTGGTCAGGACACGACTGGGTTGCGACACACCAAAAAATCCCTCGCATTGACTTACATTCTTATCAATTTAAAAGTTATGAAAACCTGTAAGACTGTAAGTTATTTCTGATTTTTAGAGGAGATAAGAGGTCAAACTTCCGCATGATAAGGGGTATGAGAACATTTTTTAATACTGAGCTAGCCGTGGATACAAAATTTGATTGTTATATTGAAATTTTTGCCAGTGCCGTTAGAGATTCAACCTCATTTTGTAATTTTGTAAATGTAAATAAGCTGTTACACAATACAAATAGTTGATGGCGATCCAAACCCGTGTACACGCACCATTACTTAAAAATTCCATAAAACTAATACTAATTCACGTGGTTGCTGTATAACAACGTTGTCCACTATTACAGGAAATTAACGTTACTGGCCGGCCATTCTTCAAATTACATAATTAACAAATCTATCAATTGATGTAGGTCCATCATTATGATCTTATAATCGAAACTGTCGCATTTCGGAGAAATAGTATTCGTTTTAACAGACATTTTGAGGTACGATACCTCGTTGTTAAAAACTCACCTGTTCTAAAATTGACAACGATATCGATAAGAAATATTGTGTCGGAAAGACAATTAAAGGCAATCCATCGCATGCTGAGATCGTCGTTGAAAAAGCTGATGGCCACTGGTAGAATTATAAGATTCGCTACTAGAAGCAGCAACATGCACAAATCCCAATAAAACCTGTAACAAAGAACAAAGAATTAGACAAAGGTCGAAATAGACAACACTGTTTACTTATCAGATTATTGCATTCTGTTTTCAGGATTCAATATTGAGAAGTTTTTTTTCCTTTCGGATCTTTAAATTAAGAAGAAGGAAACATTTATTTAAACATAAAGGAACTGTCCTTATAATAAGGGTTGCTTAAATACACAGTATAATAATCAATCACGCAAGATAATGTTTTATACAAATTTACGTTGAATTTAGATGCTGATGGATTATGTTAATAGTTTTTATTAAAATTACCTAAATCAGAAATTTGATTTAATTTGGTCCGGTCAATCTTAAATTTGTGAAAAAAGTTTAACACGGAGTTTCCAAAGCAACCTCTACTTCCAAAAAACAGACCATTTCTTATACCAAAGGATGTTTATATTTTTCTTCGTAAAATGGTATGCATTTTTCGTAGATTTTTGCGTTTTCAGTTTTTATATTTTTGATTGAATAAAACTAGCATTGGATTCAGAATAATCGTTAATGCTAAAAAAAACTTAAAAAAAGTGTACGGGGTGTGACAGACCGAATGTAATTGCATGGGTTACTCTTGCTAGATGAAATGGAAAAAGGAAAAGTGTGCCAGTGTGTTAATTAAGATTTTTGAATTCGAGATTAATTGGAACTTATAACTGAAAACAGCAATTTCTTTATAAATTAAACATCTTTATCGTGATAGTTAATTCCTGCAAATAATAAAAACTTTAAAGTAAATGCCAAAATAAAACTCAAAATTGCAGTGTATGAATAGCAACATTCTTTTGTTAGGGGGACTACAGTAGGTAAATCTCTACATAAGTAAGAGTTTCTTTATTCTTTTTTCATTAATGTAAATGTCCACCACACTTGATATGATTCCAACAAGACAGCCACTCATCTCTAATAGTTTTTTTCTGAATGCAAATTAGCAATTACGCATTCTACAATAAAAATGTATGGGTATTATTAGAACAAAGCGGGCGCTAAATTGAGTACGTGACATTAGAGTGTCACAATTTAATCTTAAAACAAATGATAATAAATCATACACTAAAAGATCCATATATATTTTTGTACATTAATTTGCGACTCCTTATGATGCACATCTGTAACAGCGATCGCATCCGACAAACAAACCCGTATAAAACAAAAGTAAAAAAGTGGAAAAAGTACGGTGAATTAAGTTAATGTCCCACGAGATTAATTTTTTAAAACGACCTGTCATAGTAAGATGTCGTTTAATGCGTTGCTAGTGTAAATCAGGGTAGAGTAGGAATGCGTAACATGGAGAAGTGAGGGTTATATGTATGACGATCCATTATGTTTTAACCCCCAATTTCGTATGGTGCAAAAGTCAGAATGAACGTCAGGATGTGGCACTGAAAAATTTTATTTTATTAAACCTACATAATATGTGCAGGTACTTTGTATTAACCAATGTTGGTGGGCGAAGTCGTCCAAATTTAAGAAATTAGGCCGGATCCACACGCAAACCTTGACAAATCACAAGGTTTCGCAAGCGCTTGCAGCAAAGTGTCTTTGATTTGTGACAGAAAATCAACACTAGACGGTTCATTCTTTTCACAAAATATAGTATGCTGATTCGAGACTTCTCTATAAGCTTTTTATTTGCTAATTGAATTGTGTTTGGTTTTAGCCTTAATATAGTGAGTTTAAATTGTAAAAATATAAGAACCGTATGCAACTTGATGAAGCATCATGTGATACATCAAAATTTTTAGCAAAATATGTAGATCACGAATGTCGATGGGGCGCATCTCGCAATGGTGGCCGTGGTGACTCGTTTCCTAAACCCACCTTCAATTATCCATCCAATTTACTATATTTTTTGTTATGAATTGGGGGATGATTCCATAACGCAACTCGCATAAATCAATGATGAAAAAACTCCATTAAAACATGAGCAGCTGGAGTGGTTCCGAGCTCAATGAAAACGTAGTTTACTTTACTAGGAATTGAAAAAAGCGGACACGTGCATTTATATGTTTATATATAAAGCTCTAATCCCAGCAAAGACGTTTCATATGAATGCCCTTCCGAGGTTCCTTGGAAAATTTCTGTAAACTGATACAATTTATGTTTCCATGAAAACAAAAAAACAATTTACATTGTTGTGTATGTTAACATACGTAATTACAAATTAATATCTGTAACTACTCATTTTTAGCAAATTTTTAAAGAGTGTCTTGTGAAAAAAATGCATCTCTACTCGCGAAAACTTTCGGGATATGATTTTTTATGAGATAACTCCAATGGTTCTCGTTACTGAAGGAAATTTTGCTTTTGTTCGTCAAATGATTGAAGAAGATTAAACAAATTCTTCCCAATGACTTTAGAGAGAGGAAAGTTTGTAGTCGTTTGATTCCTTATAACTTGACAGAGCAGCAAAAAGGAACAGAATGTTACTAAACTATGGAAGTGACAGACCAAAAGGTTTCTACGATATCATTACGGATAAGAAAACCTGGATTTATGTATTTGAACCAGAATGAAATCGTCAATCGGCTCAATAGATCTTTCCAACTGTAAAAGTTAAACAGTCTCGCAGCGGGGGAAATAAAATTATTGCATTCTTTTCTTGTAACACTCGCAAATAATACTACCCTCATCTCATCAGATTCATTAATTATACTGCATCTACCTGATCGGTGAATTGGGTCTGATGATCATACTACAAACTGTTAAACACTTGCTATAAACACATAAAAAAAAATCAAAAATCAAAATATCACATCGCGCTACCTCGAATTTTGTTGTCGTATTGATACTTGCGAAATCGCGTTCTCGATTGAGGTTTTCGTTGCGGTCACATAAGGACCAACAATTCTGCATTTCGCAAGCCTCGTAAAATCAAATGGAAAGTTAAAAGTAAACCGCTGAAATGCTTTAAACAGATCATACTTAACTTAGTTTTAATGCACAACTTTAAACTCTTGAGCGAAATTTTTAAGCTCTTGAAAACACATTAAAACCATCAGTAATAAAAGTAACATTTGTGAACTGGATGAGTGAGCTTTGATCTATTTTTACAAAAATTGTAAATTTTTAAACTTGTTTAGATATCGCATCTATTTACCTCTAAATTGTCTAATATGTGTATGGGTTGTCTACAGTTTTTTTTTACAGTTTTCTTTATGCAAATAAATAAGATTTGTGCAAATATTTGTGGAATCTGTTCTAATTATAGTTAGTTTAATGCTTCGCGGATATGCTATTAACTTCGCTTACGATTTTTTGCATACGCTTTTGCATTTTTTTTTTGAACAGTTTTAGCATTAAGTAAGTAAATAATTACTTTTTCAATGGTTTAGCCATTAGGGCCCAATTGATATGTACACAAATGTTTGGAAAAGGTATAGCCTAACATAAAGACCGACTCGTTTCGTATACATGTATGTTACTACGGACTATAAATTAAATTCAGAGAAAGGGAATTCTATAGGATAATATTGAACTATTCTCATTGAAACGTCTGCAGTAGACGTCATGTGAGGTGCAATAGTAGCGTAACTTCGCCGAGTAACTCCAGACTTGATCAATCACAAACTTTACACCCTATATGAGTGAATGGATTCGCTAAATACAAGCTTATTTCTAATCAGTCTTGGCTCTTGAGTTTATATACAGTTAATTTTTTTATATGTATTGTAGCGAACATTCCAGAAATCCTGATAGACATCGAGACGCCATGAAAGACTAGTCATCGGCAACAAAGAACGAAGGCGGATGTGACGTAATCTTTCCTAGAAATGTGACGTTCAGTTTCAACATCACCAGGCTTGGGTTATGTTATAAACAGTGAGTTTTAAATAATAATTACTGTTATATTAAACCATTTGTAGACTGTTATAAATTCATTGTCAATTATTTGTAAATAAATAAACGATGTAATTATATTTACGTTACAGGCTACAGTATCTAAACAATCCTAAGCGTTTTTCTGTTATTGTAATTGTTTCAAAATGTGAATACGATGCGTCCTTGCCCTCAAATCGCACCGTATTGTTACTCTATGCAATGCTTGTTATTGTTCTAATTATTCCCAGAATATTATTACTTAATCAATGTTTAATCCCAGAATATTCTGAGATGGATGATATTCAATAGGTATTTTTGAATTTATTGAAGGAATACAAAATCAAGACTTCATTCTAAGATGTTTTCCTTTTTTGTTTTCCATTACAAATGTAATAAACTTAGACCCTAAGAGACAACCGTTGGCGAAATCTCTTACATATTTAATCGCGAGTATTTACTTCTTTTGAAATTGCAAGTTAATTAAAACTATTCCGTTCACCAGAAAACTAAATCAGAGCGTTCCAAAAATAATGAAACTTATCTTCACGAAAAGATCTCGTTGTGCGATGTCGATTGTGGAATAGGATTGTTTCTCGGATTAAGCCGTACCTATTCAAGTATGTACAAGTCTATTCCCAAAAAGCCATTCTCCATTTAAGAAAATGGAGACACACTATTCGGCGACAAGCAGCAAGGTTACGTGTAATTGAATTCAATCCAAACGTCGCGATCAATTCGAATTGATTCCTTTCCATTCGCAAGACGAAAGTGAGCAAACTAACCCAGACTAAGGAAATCGTGGTCGAACTTTCAGATTATAGTTTTTAGTAATTATTAATCTTGTTGTAGTTTCAGAGATGTTGAACGCGACTACGTCTAGCCAAATCTCGCAAGCGTGATCTAATGAAATTTGACTTTGAATTACTGTTTAAGCAATTACGTAACGCACAGAAGGTCAGGGATGGATGAATTGTTGTAACTCCGAGCGGTTGAAGTAATTTCAGGGGTTTTAGGTTAGATCCTCGCTATCTTGGTACCTACATATAACTTTTGTCATAATTACGTACATCCGTTCAGTTACATTAAATTCCCCTATTTTATATATGTATCACTAATTATTACATATCAAATTGTATGGAAATAAACGGAGAAAATTGCATTACGTTTTACCATAAATGCATAACAATTTTTGGTTACCTTACTGCCTATGAAATGGTTCCCTTGACAACTGTTTGACATTTAATGGTGTAGGCCAGCAAAAACTTTCCCGGACTCGTTTCGGTCCAGGAAAGTTCGTTGCTTAGCAACGGGCTAAAATACTGGATTGACGCATTTTGAGGTCTGAATTTGTTCCGAGAAAGTAGACATTCTCGAGGGATTTCAGAAAAATGTAGTTTACCCAAAATCGTCCCGAAACGTTCATTTTAATGCCTACTTTCTGTCAGGAAATTTTAGTTGACAGAGGCAGACCAGACTACTTTTCCTGCCGCCTGTCACTTTACCGGCTGCACCTGCCACTTTACCGGCCCCATCTGTCATTACCGGCCGCACCTGTTACTTTTCCGGCCGCATCCGTCATATTGCTAAATGTCTATTCTATAATGACACTTCAAATCAAAAGTTCTATATTCTCTCCCACTGTGTCAAACTACTCTCAGATCAAACCATGACCATTGACAATGTTTAGACACTTTATGATTCCAATTGGAATCTAAAAATTCAAAATTCTTATTTGAGACTAATTTATTGAATTACGAAAGCATCACCATATATAACAAAAATTCAAAGAAACCGCATGGCTAAATATGAAGAATCGTAAGCGGTAAGTATGTGCATGAGATGGTCTTGTACCATAAAATGGTAACAATAAATGAGCCTTCTTATTTATATGACAAAATTCAAATCCTTGATTCCTTAATTTAATTATGCCGCCAATTCATAAAGATGCATTAGGTATATGAACAATGATTTTCATACAATTTTCTAAAAAATATAACGCATTAAGCTATATCTTAAAAACATATTTAAGGTAATCCATTACCTTTTTTTGCTCATACTTTTATATTACATAAATATTATACGGCGTGTTCTTAAATATGATGTAAATACAAAAGGATATATTTCTTTAACAATTCTTTAACAATTAAGCACCATTGCTGTTCTTATTGGTGCCTTTCGCAGATCGCATGATATCGATGACGATTTTGACATGAAATAACTGTCACCACAGTCAAAATTACGAACTACAGAATGAAACTTCAAAATTATCCAATGAAATACACTACACATTCTTGAAGCACTACAGAAAAACGAAGATATGCACAGCACATGTGGGCCTGCAAACTTTCCACACTCCTTTTTCGCTGTATATTATCACACAAGAAAACGCTCAGTTTAATATGTGAAAATGAACTTTTAGGGAACTGTTTGCACAGACCGTAACCAATATCTATATCTATCCTGAAACTTATACAGATCATAGCTTTAGAGTAGACGTTCTTGGGAAACTGTCAGACCTTTCACAAAAAGGGGATGATCAAATTAAAAAAGTTGGAACGGTGGAGGTCACTTCCTCTTACCGACCTTAAATGACCTATAAAGTGTCTTATTTTAATATTAATTGCCGGTGACAGTGTAACAAGTCTCAAGGGGCAGTTAGCAGCAAAATAACCTCAATTGTGTCATTAAGGTTTGATAAATCAAATTAAAATGATTCAATTTTCCACTTAATTACATCACACTGCAACTTCGGGATGACCGAGTTGATGCGAAACCGAATAATTGGATTCATAATAATATAATTATTATTTAGTCACATCCAAAGGGACTAAGTACAGAATCTGCGGCGATTGATTGGATATCGAAATGAAATGTCTTCGCATAATTCCCTAACCGAAACAGGCGTAAAGGCAGATATATCCCCAAATTACTTATGTAATCTAAGGCAAAATCTGCAACAGTAATTATAGAACATTTTCGCAACACGTAATTTGCTCGAGTTCGACGTCTTAACTGATTTAGCGCTTCCTTTTGCAATTGCCCAATGGAATATTGGCACGCATTTTTATGCGTACAATAAACATCCGTTTATTTTTTAACGTAAACAATTAACAAAAGTTTCGCATAACACTTGCTTCCATAAATTTTGAAACTTTTTTCCTGGCGCTATTTATACTTATTCATATTTCAGAGATGTCCACTTAAAATTAGCGGACTTGAATTTGGTAGGGAGAAGATATCACAATGTGCCAAGTTTGACAAAAAATTTATAAGACGACGTTTCTTCGTGGGAGCATCAGAAGTAAGTGAACACAATGGCATTTTATATCAAAGAAAAAGTGGCTGTAGTTAGTGGCGGTGCTTCTGGTATAGGATTATGTTGTGCGAAGGAGCTTCTAAAAGGGGGTTTAAAGGTAAGCAAAAATATCCACCTAAAAAAAGGCAGTAGGTAGCGATAATCTGTTATGATATCTGTTATGTCAACACATATTATGATATAATGGGTCTTTAACTTTTATGTGTTTCATACAAATTATTAGGAACATCCATAACTGTCATGATACATTGCAAATTAGAATCTCAGTATGATTCATCAATAAATGCATATCCTTTGGATCTTGTCCAAGTTTTATGACTATTACGACATAGTTGGAAGGAATTTAATAACATTGTTTTTTAGGCTGTCACTATAGCTGACATAAATGAAGAACTGGGGAAAGATGCGGAAAAAACATTATGCTCCGAATTCGGCGATAATAAAGCGTTATTTATAAAAACAGATGTTACAAATTCGGACCAGTTTGAAGGTAGGTAACCAACTCTTCATTGGCAAATGAATTTCTGTACCAGTTTCTTCTAGTCTTTCTTAGCGGAAATCTCCTACTAATAGCACAACAATAGTAGGACAATATAATGAATGCCTTGACATGACAGTCTACACACAACTATAATTTATTGCCGCTCATATTTTTAGCAAATTTTTACAAATAGAAAGTTTATCCGTTTCCGAATCAGTCCATGTGTTCTGCTATTTTAGTTAACTTATACTGAAAGTTTTGTAAATATTCCTGATAGTAATGGTATACTGCACAACAAAGGATCGCCCGCCGACGTAAGCGATTTAGCGATTTAACGTTTAGCACATTTGGATTCTGGGGTATTATGTCGTGAAAATCGCTCTTCTGACGAATATCCCTTAAGCAATGATAGCGAAAACCTAACAATTTTTGCTAAATATGTACAGTTGAAGGTATTCAAAGTTTTAAATAATCATGCGTAGCAAATTGAAGTCAACACAGGGTGTTCAACGACGGACTGAGCAAGGATTTCCATAATTTTCATTCATTTTTGTAAATTACACAGCAGTGGTCCCATTTTTAATTGTTTAATTTAAGAAAACCATATCAAGAAACGATTGCTATAATGTTAAAAACCAACAGTTGTAGCGTTTTGCTTTTACGTTACTTTATTCAAATTCTCTATTTGTAAATGGGCGACCTTCCAGTCATAAAGGGAAAAATAAGTGAATTGACCGCTATGGTGTCGTCGGTGGTTTTGGGGTGGATGTGGGAACAAACTTCCTCTCTGATAGATTCGTCAAAATACTTTAAGGGGTCGGTGATGGATTTTCGGTCGGTAAAGGTAAGTATCCCTCAATGGACCACGACACTGGCGACCTCATATTGGGACAGCGCAAATAACGCTCGCTAGTGGCAGGGTTGACACTACTAATTTTATGGTTTTTCTTTGGATTTAAATCACTTCACCAGACAAATTTCTAAGTACCACTTATTTATATAATGGCTCGTGTGTTTTACAAGAAACCTTGCAGATTACTTCACTAGTCTTATAGAGATTGCCACCTTTAGTTTTCAACGATATCTTCGATTAAAATTTATACACAGTCACCCTTCTTTCACTTTATTCCGAAATTTGGGGCGGCACGATTTCTTCCTTTGATTTCAGTAGACACACAGCAACTATCCGGCGTCAATGAAACCGTAAGCGATATCACTAACTAATGAAAAATAATATCAATGTTAATCAGGAGCCTCGACTCCTAATTCACCCTAACTGATTTCGGGTGACCTATCGCTAACACCCGACTCGTCGAAACACCTACATTTTCCTTAAAATAATTCCGTGTTACGATACGATCTTTATTTCGCACACACCCCAATTTGAAACGCGTTTAAAATAGCCAATCAGATTTAAATTGTATAGGCTGAAGCCACCACAATTGTTTACATTCAGAAATATCCGTGACTGTTGCAAAAGAAAATTAAAACATTGACATCCATCATATGGAAGTGGTCCGCCCATAATTTAAAATTTATTATTGGTCTTATCGTGTGAAAGGTTAACCATAGGCGGTATTACTAATATAAAATAGGGAATAAAGCAGAAGTAGATAAACTTATGCAAAGCGCATTTTTGGTAATACAGATCAGTTTTTTATTACCAAAGTTCAAAACGACAAATCAAACTTTTATCAAAAGCTTTCTTTATAAAGTTCAAATAAAATTTTTCATTTTACCTCGAAAAAAGTGTAAAATATATAATCATACTGGCAATATTAGTCTAGGGTCGTGCCACATATAATAGCATAATAACTTGTTGTAAATGATATTGCTACATATTTTTCAAATAAGTTTCGTGCCAACTCATAGATCTCATTAAAATCGCTGTGCCAGTATATTTGACATAAGTCGTGTAAGTTTTTCCGTGGTAGTAAATTTCCTCGCCACTGTATTTGTTTACTTGTACATATTGAAACTATTTTCTTAAATTGTCGATCGCTCTAGACTAGGGCCTGCACATATACACTACATCAAAAAGCTTTTGGTGAAAATTTGAAGTCTCTAGCTATTGTAATTGCTGAGATCTCAGATAGACAGCCAGCCAGCCTGACAGTCAACCATAACAAATATAATAGCGTATTTCTTTCCACCTATACCGACCACAGTCGAGTACGGTACAATCGTCACTTGTTGTCTCTTCTGCTTGAACGAAACTCGTAACTTATACTTTACATAATTATACGAAACCATAAACATTTCCAACGTCAAAAAATGGATTAGATACTTCCATACTGTTAAAAAAAACAAATTAAATGTCCCATGACCAACTAACATCACAAAATCTAACAAAGGTCAAGCGCTTGAAACTTTACAACTTAAAAAGTTTAGAACCAGCTTTACTTCCTATAGATATATAACAAAAACAGTATATTTTGGAAATTGCGATTCCAAGGTTCACGAAACTTGCACTGCACTATTTTTGTTATTACCTACTTATCTTGTATTTACAAACACTATTTCAATTAGTCAATTGAATACTGCTGTTATAAATATCAAACTTTTTCCAGCGGTCTTCAAAACAACATTAGAAAAATGGAAATCAATCGACCTAGTTATAAACAACGCTGGAGTATTAAACGATAGCCAATGGGAAATGGAAGTAGCAGTGAACTGTGTAAGCATAAATACTGAAATTAAAGGGGTCAATAACGCGAAAAATTTCAGAACGGAGTAGTGCGAGGATCTCTACTCGGTATGCGGTACATGGGAAAGGATAATGGAGGAAGTGGAGGAATGATTGTCAACGTGGCGTCCGTTTTAGGGCTGCAACCTCTCTCCAGCTGTCCCATTCATGCGGCCACCAAACATTTTGTGATAGGATTTAGTCGATCTTTAGGAACACCTTACCACTACCGTCGAACAGGTGTTAAAGTAATAACGTTATGTCCAGGATTTACAGATACGCCTCACTTAAAGGAGGCGGCAAGGAACGCGTTTACGACTTTCGATCCGAACATCGGTGAACTATTAACTAAAGAACTTCAAGGATTTCCTTTACAACCGTTAGACATCCTAGCTATGTTGTACGATAGGCTAAGTAGTTTATTTGTAGATCTGATGCAGTCGCGAGGGCGCTGTCGGTGGTGATGTCGAAAGGGGATAACGGAAGTGTGTGGGTATCTGAAGGCAATAAACCGATATATGAAATTGTGAGGACGTTCAAACCCGTTTGATAGAAGGAACGGCTCGTTTAATTGCCATGTTAACAGAGAATCGGAATTACGTTTTCTATGGAATTCACCCTCACCTGGAATTTGTGGGAATGTAATGTTCACTATTTTGTTTAGAATTCAATTTAATAAAAATTGTACTGTCAACGTTTTTTCCTGAGTAGACACTTCATCGTTCTCTAAAAAGAACGTTGACTTCACTTCACGATCCAATCCTCTTCATTTTATGAATGCTTTCGCCTTTTTAATAAAGTGAAAGAAACTTTGTACAACACTCAGCTACACTTATACCTCTTCTCGTTCGTGTAGGTGTTGGATGTCTATTCCGCATTCATTTCATATAAAAATCCATTGGCGTGAAGACGTTCAATTGCATTACAAAAAAAAACATTAGTTTGAAGGCAAACAGATGTTGTGTTTTCAATGCTTGCTTTGTACCTATAAATGAAAATTTATTACTGGTAAATGCCGTACCGAATGTCAATCACGTTTAATATTATAGAGGTCGTGGAAGGACCCATTCTATGGGTCGTGGCAGGGATTTGACATATCAATCAACATATCAATCAACAAAATAATTACTTGCTGGACTAATGCAATCATATGGTACAAATTACACCAAAAAGCTGTACCTGGTAAGTCCAGATGTTCGACCTTACAAAAGTATGAAACTGTTGCTTTATTTGTCCTCAGCAATAAATCAAATAAACTGACGCCAATTCGGTGGTGGTAATGAAAAAAGGCTTAGGTTCAATATTTACATGAAAATACATCTCATGAAAATACATGACTACTCACATACCTTATGATAATCAGAACCAAAAATTACGTTGTTTTAGTGGTAAACAAAATTGGGAAAGGTAGAGAGCAGCGAAAACGCAGTGATATTGGGATATCAAGCACTTACGTACAACAAGATGGTAGATTGTGGCGCCTTTTATACCAAGAGTTGCAAAAGCTTTGTAACCGGGGATTACTTCGGGTGCCAGGGCAATTCAAAAATTACTAAAAAAGTGTTTTCCAAAAGGAACATAATTTTTAGATGCTTTTACTATTGATACATTACTTTCCAAAATTTATCAAAATATGCGATAAATAATGTATTATTGTTATGGTCATAGTCATAAAAATAAACAAAAATGTTGAACAACTATAATTTGATTAGAGGGGTACAATTTGACCAATTTGAAAAGAAATGACATTTGGCGAAAGTCAATCTGCCTCAATTTAAAATTTAACCACCGATGTGATTTAGTTTCCCTAAAAAAAATCGAAAAATGGTCAAATTTTGAAGGAAAAAACAGAAAAATCGTGAAAGTAAAGGGTATAATATGTTACATAAGAAAATGCATTTCTTAAAATTCTGTTACCCATTCAACCAAAGTTTTCCAAACATTGAAATAAATCCAGAAAACAATCTGTTATTGAAAAACGTCATTAACAAGTGTAATAACAAAATTACATGTATTTTACATTTATTAGTCATTCATGTGTATCGTGTGTCCTATTTTGCACTGCGTTGTATCTCAGCTGTTTTTAAAGATGGAGACTTTTTTTGGGAAACATACACATACGACTTGTCTGCTTTTGGTTTTTGTGTTAACTAAAGTTTCATTTCTTATGCCACTTGTATGTGAGCACGTGTTTAATTCAGAGATTACAATAGAGTAAGTACCAATTTTCCAAATTTTTAATGGCACCGATCAATAATAGGTAATATTTAGGTTCCCTAAAATCTGATCTCAACTTTCTAATCCTTTGATGTGGCCCATTTAAAAGGAAATGGGGAAATGGGGAAAAGGGAAATGGTACATACGTATTCCTAAGAATCTCTCTACATACAGCTTGTACCTCCACTATCCAGGCAATGGAAGAGTCAAATCTTGTGTACGTATCATGCTACCGCGTAAATAATGGGTTGTACAGTCTAAAAACCTGGCCCATTTGGCTCTTGTTTACTACTGTTTACAGCTACCATGAATACGTAAACTGTAACCGCGATATTAACTTCAAATACAGACCCTACTTTATTTTTTATACACGCCATCCCATTCTCTCGCATTTTCAGATTTGTAATTAAAACATCGCCCGTCGTTTTGGCACAAAGATTCACGGTTACAAAATAACGAAATAGAAATTTGTATTGTGTTTCGTGAACATGCTTCATTGAGTCTTCAGTTTAACTAACTAAGATTAAAAGGAAGAAAAATAGTTGGCGTTAACATAATTTAAATATTTACTCAATCAGCAAAGCAAACTATAAAATTTTATGTTTATCGGGGGAATCGAATTTACCCATTGCCCCGGTAAATAAAACACCACGTTGTTTTACATGCGCACATTTACATTTTAGGCTACGGCTACGAGTGCGTAATGTTTAATTCAAGAGTGTCGGGCATATAGCGAATTTAATTGAATGATAGTTTCCCATATCAAATATACAAGTTCAACATGGTCAAAATTATTACGTAAGTCGACATCATTTTGTAGGGATACAAGCAGGTGAAATATTGGCGTGGCTGACCGCATTACATCTAACTACCCCATTAGACGGAAGCGTTTTAAGGTATATCCTTGAGTGATACGAGAGACGTGCAAACATTTTTATGTTCACTCAGTTTAATAAAAAATGTGGCCTTAGAATGAGGTACGATGTATAAATTCAAATGTGATTTTGCACAAAACGTTTGCCGGAATTGCACTTTAAATAAATAAAGGTAATGGTGGCGTTCCCGAATTTTATTCATTGAATTGCCGATTGCTCTTACGTCAGGCGTTTTCTGAGGGATTTGGTCGCACGTGTAATTATAGAAGTTTGCAGGTATATTGAAAACCATTAACCTTAGATTCAAGATTAATTAATATTTGAATTAATTGAGCAGCTACGGTTTCTGTAGAGTGTAGACGCACTCATCTTTGATGCGAAATCAATGAAGATGAAATTTTCATGATATAAATCGCCCAAATTTTGCAAACATTTGATTTAATATTTTAACATTGCAATCGATTGTATCTGGATGTTTATTAACAAACGACCAATCCAAAATTAGTTTTTAATTGTTCAAAATGAAAGTTCCACTACAATTCTTGACCGGACAAACAAAATCGTTATAATTTTATTAAATTTTGCGCATACACACATTAAGTTTTTTTTTGGTCCTTTGTAAGTGAATGGGCTTTCAGCCAACGCTGTTCTACCCAACCCACTATACATTTACAAATATTCATATCCGACACTGGAAGGCAACCAGGAACTCTCAGTGTCGCAGCCGAGCTTTTACTCCACTGCGCCACACGGGCCGCCAAAATAATAATGAAATAAATGTGTAAACAAATATAGCAAACGAGCTCCTGGTTTGGCAATGCGTATTATATGGTTAAAGCTACGCCCATTTTAAATTTCATGGAATTCGGTGCATAACCAACGGATATGTCAAAAGGACCTCCCTTATTTTGTGGCCTACATTGCGAATTCACTTCGATCTACGAATCCACATACAAAATTTCATCGCAATAGGTCCATTCTGTTTCCAGACATTGTGCTAACGGACAGACTCGCTAGGAGCTCGTTAATAATAATTTTATTGTAATAATAGTTACGAATAATAATTTTCTCAAGTGAAAGATTTCCAAAAACTCATCTAAAAATAAGCAAAGGACTTATGGAAGTCTTCATCGGGTAATTTCGCAAACAATTCCAGTTATTGGATTTCTTGTGAAGATCCTACCCGGAACTGTCACTTTCAAGCAAAAATTGTGTAAGGAGTTCAAGGATTATCGCAAAATAATACAAACTAACGGAATTTTTCCAAACGAAAAATTTCCAAATACTCAGCTAGCAATTTCACGAGGAAATACGGAAAAGTAGAAGTAGAACTGACATTTTTGTAGACCTATTTAATTTTCCCAGATCGAAGAGTGACATAAGCTCATCCAGGATTGATCAATTGGGGTATTACAACCAGAGACTTGTTATACCATTACAACACTTCAACCGCGATACTGTCGCAGTTATGGAAAGATTTTAATGATCAAATATGTAATATTAGGGTTTTTAGTGTCTTTAAATACATATTGTATGTTTATTGGTATGTAGCGCTGAGCTTTTAACACCCCATAAAGCCCAACTTTAATACAAACTTTTCGATAATAAACAGAATGTATTAACATTTTAATGTTACATTGTAATGTTCGATAGTAAAACAATACTATGGCTCTATATTATTTCGATCAGAATAATTAGTATTACCAAGTGCAAATGACCTGTTTATTATGTAACAAAGTATACAATAAACTTAACCCGGCGACCGCTCTTAATGTACTTACTGGATTTAAATTTCAAATCGGAGAACATAAAATAACAGGTGAGTTGTGTCACGGTGAAACAAAAACATCATGGACCTATATCTGAAATTGCATGCATAAAGAGAAATCAACATTTATTTCTACCTGTGACAGCTCAAAGCTTGCATGTTGGAGTTTTTGTTTCAGAAAATGTCATAAATCATCCATCTTTCAGTAGTAGAGCAGAAAGATGAGATTTGCATGTAGCTTTAAGAGGAAAAATATTTTCCATTTGATAAACACATCTTTCCCTATACGAACGGTTGACTGGTTCACGATGCATTTTTACAAATATGCTTGTTATTCCGTTGTTTTCAATAATAATTTTGTATGAACGAATTTCCAGATAAAATTTGGTGTGCATCACAAATGTTTTAGAACTGGTCGTTAGACTTCATGTCTCCGAGTGCGACAATCGATAGTTTTAAGTAACCTATTTCCTCTCCAGTTATGTATATGTAGGAGTAAAAAATTACTAATTAATACACTTTCGCTTTTTACATTTTTTGACTAATTGCACAGGTTCATATTTTTTTGCACAATAATCTGACTCCACTCCATGTCTACACGGTAAAATTTCGGAGATAATTTAAATCGACAGTACTCCCAACTCATGCCATCGCACACAGCAATATCGATGTTAATTTATTATTTTTGAAAATTTTTAAATGGTGTAAATAAACTGTAGAAAAATGCAAAATTCAAATGTGTTTTGTAAACTGATGTTTAAACTTTTTGATTATTTATTCAAACTGTATGTTCGTTAATAAATGAAGCAATTGCAAATCATTTGAGTATGGAGT